AAACTTAAATTAAAATTTGCAAGATTAAAATTTAAAAAAAACATTATATTTTATAAAATTTAAATTATCTGAAAAATTAAAAAAACGATAAAAAATTAATTAAATATAAAAGGCATAAAAGTTGTATTAAATTCACTATTTGCGTTCCTTTTTAACTTGTTGCATATATTATTTGTCTTTATTTTATTAAATAAACGTGACAGGTATAATATATAAATAACTAAAACTAGATTACAAAGTAATCAAAAAGGAAGTAAAAAAGTTTTCCAGAATAAAAAAATGTGCAAAAACACAATGTGCAAGTATAAAAGTAAAAACAATATTTGAAAACAATATTTGCATGTGAAATTTTAACAAATAGATTTATTACTGATAAAAAGAAGTAAAAAAGGATGTATACAAAAATATTGTAAAGGGTATGTGGGAATTCAATATGGTATTTGATCGCAAATCTGTATGCCATTAGTGCGTTATTGAGTTAACCTGTTCTTGAATACCAACCAGTTATTTCTACAATTACTTCGAAAAAACCACACCTTTTGTTACACTATATTTTGTCACATCTAAGAATGTCCAACAGACCAAAAAACTCGTACAAAATACTAACTAGAAATGACATCACTATGAGGCACAACTTAAACTCAAGTTTAAAAACTAGCGAAGCTTACTGTAATTCCTACAGACATACAATAAAAACGACACGCCCTCCTCTATTTGGTATAACTCAAGAAACTATGGCCAAATTAAAAAATTACAGGACCAAATATAAAAACAAATTAAAACATTTAAAAAGAAACTAATGAAATAAGTATATAATAAATGATTAAATAAAATATAAATGACGAATTGAAAAATGTTTACTGTTTTGTCCTTCTTCGTCTTTATTAAGGTCAAAACAAAAGAGACATATTAATATAATAAAACAATAGAATTTTGAAACAAAAGAGTAATTTGTCTTTGTAATTTATATAAATAAAAAACAGTAAATAAAGGAAAGTAGTTTTACTACTTACAATAATAACAAAGGAAAATAAAAAGTAAATAAACATAATGAGTAATGTTAACAGTAGTTACGCAAACAAATAAGAAACTTCAAAAGGTGAATGATTTATTACAAGTTATTTGAGCAAGTTAAGTGATCTCAAACAAACAAACGGATTTTTTATGAACGTGGTAAACCTGTTGAAACAAATTAAAGTTGCTAAACAAAGGAAAATGTTAAGTGATCTTAAACAAACAAACGTAGTTTTTATGACAATAAAAAAGCTATAAAAGCAGCTCGTTTTTACGATATCAGTCATTCATTTATTTTTAAAGAAAACAACATCCAGCTCCACTATCGCTTTTAAATAGCCTTTTATTAAAATTTAACAGTAGGATCCAACTTTTGGTTTCCCTCATAATATCTACTTAACTTAATTTTTCCCAAATATAACGTTTCAATCCAATCAAATAGTCAATTAAATTTTATTCAATTAAGCTTATTCTAAGTAATTTATTATTCTATTTTATGAAACAATTCCTTAATTTATATTCGTTAACTATTTTAATTAATTAATTTGGATTAGTTAATTCCATTACCCATAAAATATTTATTTAATTTTTATTTTAATTAAACTAGTTTTAGAACTTAATAGTATTTTCGAAAGCTTTAATAGCTGATAAAATATTTTTTATAAAACTGTCCTATTATGTGATAAAAATTCTTATTCCTAAGAATTTTTCAATCTCACTAACATATTTAATTTTTAGAAATATAAATTATTATTATTAATAAAATGAATTCTAAAAACTGTGCTAAAACCGGTAAGAACTATTCATATATTATTTTTAAATTTAACAAAATCTTCAAAAAATATTTTATAGAAAAGAGATATGCTGAGAATAAAAGCGTCACACCAGTTGAAGGTTAAAATTTAAATCACATTAAAAAAGGCATACTGTATTAAAACTTTAATGATTCAGATAAAATGACGGCCGAGGAAATTAATCAAGCTTTTGCTTATATTAGTGAACAACGAAAAAAGAAAGGAAATGGACGAACAAAATCGCCAACAAAATCAATAAACAAAACGCCAAAAAAGTCTAAAAAACCAAAATTAAGTGAAAATGGAAGCAATGATTCATCTGGATCGGTTAGTATGTACGAAGATTTTAGTTAACAATTTTAGATCGAAAAAACAAAAGAAATGATAGATGATGAGGATTTACATAAGGCAATTATGAATATGGAAGACGGATCGGACGATCCCGGATCAGATGAAGTGATCGAATTGGGGGACGACGAGGAACATTATCAACAGCTGCGTCTAAATAGTAGGTTTCATACAGTTATTTATAATCTGATAATTTAAGAATTGGAAAGAGCGAAATTAATAGTGCCACCAGCATTACTCAATCGTGCTCAAGCTCTTAAGAATCAAAAATCTGGTATTTTTGTATACCAGTGCGAACCTTGCCGTCTAAATCAAAAGAAAAGGGAATGTTTTCTCTTCAAAACTGGTCAACAAGGAGTTTCAGTGCTCACAATTGAACTATGTGGCGAGGATTTAGACAAAAACATTTTGCTGGAAAAATACTATTCTTTTCATTTTGGTGAGATCTTAATCATTAATTTAAAAATTTTTTCTAGGTAATCAAAATGGTGAACTTTTAGAGGGGACATCAAATAATGGTAATGGTATAGTTATGTAAAAATCTAAATTAGTTTGTTTTAAGATGTTCTAAATTTTCAAAAAGGAAAGAGCATCTCAACGGAAAACGACAAGAAGCTATTAAACATGAAATATTGCTGGATTCTTCACCAGGTATTTTAAAATTAGATACAGAATTAAATTAAATTCTAGTGTACCAACTGCGTAGAACTTACAAAAAAATTGGCAAGCGACCTTTTTGTTCAAAAGAATGGTGAAAAGTATGAACTCAGCTTTGTGGTATGTTAGAAAAAAGCTAAAAATTAATAATGAATTTTAAGACTTGTTCTGAATGTACTACTGGAAATGTAGATTATCATCAAAAAACTTACAACTTATTTAACAACATTAAATAATCAAAGAAAAAGTAGAAATAAGCAACATGAAAAAATAATATGATTAATAATATCTTAACGAATAAAACTTTTAATTATTTTAATTTTAAAGTGGCCGTAATACTAGCGGATTAATATTTATAAATTCTACGAGATTAAATTTAATTACATGAAAATTTTGATTTTTCAGAAAAAAGTGTTAGTTCCTGTAATATTATCTTCAAGATAGCGGTATTAAAATTTTTAATCTAAAATAAATATATTAAGATGGATCAACAAATGTATGAACATGTTATTGAAGGTCTCAAAGAAAGCGTTATACGCTTCTCTCGTCAAATAAGCACGCTTGAGTATGTTCGCCAAGATGACAAAATGTTAAAAAATGAGCTCTACGATGCTTTTATGCAATTTCATGAAAAACGCTATCCTCTAGCAAAATGTCAAATACATGAATATCTACTTAGGGAGATGAATGCGCTGGCAAAAATTGTATATTTTTTATTATTATTTGATTTATTTGTTATTTAAGGCGATTACTGAAGTTGTGAAGGACGAGCTGTATTTTGAGCTTCATAATCCGTTTAGCAAATTCTGGTCTCAAATTGATCTTGAAATGGCAATCAAGATTTTCAATAAACACGCAAACATTCACGGACCAATCATAAGAGAAGGTTTGACAAAGAATGTTACAAATAGTTTATATTTTAGATTCGCCAATAATATTCATGAGAGATCACACGGATTCATGTAGTAATATTAAACCCAACACAGAGGAGAAGGGCGTACAAACTGAAAATTCCTCAGAAGACCAAGTCGTTACTGCTAAAACTGATGAAGAGAACACACTTTGAACCTAGCTGGAGACGTGGAGAAGTAACAAGTCGTTCGCAAACTATATATGATAAAGGATTTGTAGATGCAGATTTGGATTGATATCCCTATGGATGCAGGGGAAATCCTATTTCAGATCCAACTGTCTGATAATTTAATTTGATAAATTTATAAATCAAAAATCTTTCTTAAATACATGTTTATTCATATATATTTTTTAAAAATAATTTACTCTATTTTTTAGCTTCAGGTCTATCACAATGATTAGCGACATAAACATAGGTATTTTGCAAATAACTTATTAATGTAAAATTAATAGACACGACTGCACGCCTCCTTGAACACATTACCCTCCAGCAACCTATTACAATTTCACAACCTCCTGAAGAAATAGTGGGCATTCAGAATCAAAAAATATTCATTTTCTATTCACCAAAGTGTGGATTTGATAATCGCTTTTCATCAGAATTTACAATACTTGGAAGAACATTTAATACTGTCGATCAATATTTGGAATGGCAAAAGGCTCGCTTTTTTGCCGATATGGAAATTGCTAGCGAGTTGCTATTGACCCGCAACCCGTCAGCTATTAGAAGAATAGGAAAGCGCGTCCGTAATTATAATCAAGAAGAGTGGAGTATTGTTCGGAATAAGGTATAACCCCCAAGACTTCCAAGCTAATATTATAAATTAGGTGTTGTACACAGGATTGTGGGCAAAATTTACGCAAAATATTCAATTATTCAATCAATTGCGTTCAACAGGCGATGGACTCTTGGCGCAGGCTTCTGCATCGGAGTTTTATTGGAGCAACGGTGTACGACCTACAAGTGTAACACTTAAAGATCCTAGCAAATGGGAAGGTGAGAACTATTTAGGAAAACTTTTAATGGAATTAAGAAGTGAAATTAATACAAGTATTTATTGACTTTTCAAAAACATTAAAATTGTATTGTAAATTTTATTTTGAATTAGATAAATTTCCTTTTCGGATCGTGCGCCTGTAATTATACATTTTCCTGTCGTAAAGACGATAACAACTGAGCGATATTCTTTAAGGCGTAGGCACATGCCAGGAAAAAATTCTGGGTTATAAGAAATGTGACGAGCAAGCCAATGAGGTGGAGCAATTCTCATCGTATCATATAAGGCTAAAAAATAAATAAGTGTATGCATAAAAATTACCGGGTAAATTTAGATATCCCGGGAAAGCAAAAGATGAAACAACATTTTGTATTTTAAATGATTGCATATTTATTGACGAACAATTTGCTGTAGATATAAGCTTAACAAAATTCCTAATAGCAATTTCCGAGTCCTTAACCGATTTTGTGCCAACACATACAATCTTTCCATTAGAAAATACTAATGCTGTAGACCTAAGTGGTTGTTCAACTTTAATTATAAGTGCTGAGAAACGTTCTGGCGAATATTTAGCATTTTTAATAAGTGTTGAAAGAGAATAAAGATCAAGTTTCTTATTTTTATTAAGTATTTGAGCGGTTGAAACAACATTTTGAATAATTGCTTTAGGAAACATCTATAATATATAAGGAAATCATGAATTATTTAATACATTAAAAATGTTCAAAGCTCCCTTCACTATGGTTATTTCCGGTGCCACAGGCAGCGGAAAAACCCAATGGCTTATGAAATTTCTTGCAAATTGCGAACAATTAATTGAGCCTCCACCAAATAAAATATTATATTGTTTTGGCGAGATAAACGAAAATATTTTTAAATTGAAGGAAATGGGAATTACTACCTATAACGGGGTTCCTGAAGTTGAACTAATTAAACTTCACCAATTATTAATACTTGATGACTTAATGCTAAATATCCCTGTTGATTTTTTAGATTTACTTTTTACTAGGGGATCGCATAATTGGGGTGTAAATGTAATCTTTGTGACGCAATCACTCTACGGACGAGATATCCGGACTGCTCGTGCAAATGCACATTATATACTTTTAACCAAAAATCCTCAAGGACTTCTCCAGGTGCGCACACTTGGATCTCAGCTATTTCCTAAAATGCTAAACTATTTTCTCGAGGCTTATCGTGATGCTACCTCTGAGCAATTTTCATATTTACTAATTAATATGCATCCAAGTGCAGACGAAAATTTGCGTCTTTCTACTAAAATATTTCCTGGGGAAAAACAGACTATATATTTGCCGCTATAATATATAAGTACTCTAAAATCTATGAATTATAAAAAATGTATAACTATAGTCCATACGTTAAAGAAAATTTTGAATTTTTGCAGCGTTTAGCTAAAACATCCTCCGATAAAAAGAAAAACGCCTTAATTCTCTCAGCCAGCGCGGATCAAATATTAGCAATAGTTGAAATCTGTGCTAATATTTTAAAAAATAATTTTATTTTAAATAGAAGACAGCGTAAGAAATTAGCTCAATTTGCTGAGTTCTATAGAGCTATAGCCCGTACACGCACTGAAAAGAGCGCCAGAAGTCGAATACAGCAAGGAGGTAGTGCCGCTCTAGCCGCTATACTTGTACCTGTCCTTGGAGCTTTAGCTGAACATATAATTCATAGATTCTCACAAGAATGAAATATACAAAGAAGATGATTTTGGTGCCTGAAAGTGAATATCATGCACTTCTAAGCTTGATTAAAGGCGGAGATTTTCTTCAAAATGAAAAGTTACAAACCGACTCAAAAATTAAAGAGACTCTTAATGATCCAAATTTGAGTGAAGATGTAAAAGCCCAAAAATATAACTGGTTATATAAAAAAAGAAGACAACTCAAGCATGAATTAGAAAATAGGCCTCAAAAGGTTATTATCGATGAAGGTAATACGGCTAGAGCTCCGGAAGTTGCTCCGTACCTAAGTGACACTGCAGCCCCTAAAGCACAGTTAATACCCGTACAATCGAGTTCAGAATATCAAACAGATTCAGAACTTACCTCAGCAAAACTAATGAAAAGGAGAAATACAACGCCTTTTAAGGGAATAATTTCAAAACGTTATTCAAAAGAATTGGAAAATTATGTCAAAGATAATGCTGAAAAATTTAGAATAAGTAAGAATGGAAGCTTTGAATCTAATGTCAAAGGTAGACTTGTGAAGAATAGTAATTTCACTGAAGTGCTCGAATATGTACAAGGTGATATAGCATCACCTCCCAAAGGTTTTAGTTTTCTATTTAATCGACTATCCAAAGACCCATTAGTAAAAGAAATGATTAAAGAGACGCAAGGAGAAAGTAGTACAGGGGAAAGTTCTGGAAGCCAATCAGGTAGCGGGAAAAGAGTATTAGTAAAACTCCTGTCTATAAAAAGAAAAAATAAATTTATTCCTCAAATATGGGAAAAGCTTTAGATACTTTTTTATCAAAAATTTATTATTCGCTAAATTCTCCTGCTTCTTATGCAGGAATAAATCGTGTCTATGAAGAAGCTAAGCTCAAATATCCAAAGATTGACGTTCATGACGTTTATAATTTTTTGCATAAGCAAAGAGTGTATACAATGCATCGACCAATCAGAAAAAAATTTCCCAGACTAGTTACGCGGCCAAGCGGTCTTCATACAGATTGGCAAGCAGATTTGGCTATATTTGATCAGATAGCTAAACATAATGATAATAACAGATACCTTTTAGTATGTATTGATGTTCTAAGTCGGAAGATTTTTGTAGCGCCAGTCAAAACAAAAAGATCAGAAGATATGATTGAAGCATTTGAAAAAGTTTTCAGACTTTCAGATGGTATCTTGCCCCATAAATTGTATACTGATCGGGGATTAGAATTTGAGGCTAAAAAAATGAGGGATTATTTTAGATCCAAGGATATTGATAAGCGTGTAGTTTATAGTCCTGATGTGCATGCTTCAATGGCCGAAAGGGCAAATCGTACAATAAAGGAAAGATTATATCGATATTTCAGTGAAAAAAACACACTTCGTTGGGTTGAGGCTATTCAACAAATTGTTTCTGGTATAAATTCGAGCGTAAACCGCGCTACAGGTGTTACACCTAATTCTGTTACTTTTAAAAATTCTCAAAAATTATTTGAGAGGCTATATAAGCGCACTGATATACCTATTAAATTAACTTCTAAACTCGAGCCTGGACAAGTTGTCCGAATTGCAAAAGAAAAGGGTAAATTTGAAAAAGGATATTTACCTAACTATACTGACGAGCTTTTTCTTGTACATACAACGAACGACTCACGTACGCCTATAACATATAGGTTAAAGGATTTTGAAGACAACCTAATTGAAGGAATCTTTTATAGAGAAGAGTTGGTGCCGACACAAGAGGATACAACTCATCGTATTGCAGAAATTTTAAAGACTCGTACTACACGTACTGGGATAAAACAACATTTTGTGCGTTGGATTGGTTATAAAGACATTCATAACAGTTGGGTAAACGACAAAGACATCGTTAGACATTAATTATGGATTCATTTTATGTTGTCTTACCTTCAAATTCAGGAGATGTTGAAGGAAATACTACTTCAAAATTCACAGTAAGAATGCCTGATACTCTCGAGTTAGATTCAAGTTGGACTGTTGCACTTTCAAATATTATTTACCCATTTTCATTCTCTTTACTTGGAGATTCCGATGAGCAAGAATCTATTACAATTTATCGCCGATATGGAAAGGAACTTCTATCTGTTCGAATCGAGATACCCGATTTGTCCTTTGCTTCAGAAGAGGCCTTGGAAGAGGCCATAAATGCTGTTTTGCTTGATGCGTGGAAAAAGGAATTGGATCGCGAGCGAGAGGAAATGAGACTTGAAGAGAATAAAAAGAGAATTTATGGGAATTATCGTAAAAGACGGGCTGTTGAGACTATAAGCGAACAATTAGTTAAAAATGGGTATTTTGATTTGACAAAAGAAAATTCATTTAACTTTATGAAATATCTAGGGAAACAAGGAATTCGTTTACCTCCTATAAAACCTCATGCAATAGATGGTATAGAAATGGTTCGGTTCACTCCAAATCAAGATCAAATAGAGAGGATCAAACAAGCACTTGATGAATTTACTAATCTTCCATTAGACAGTCAAACTGAAGTCTCAACTGTTACTCCTATAGAAGAAACCCGTGAATCTACTACAGAAACACAGCCCGAGTTTGAACAAAAAGAAAAATTACCTGCTGATGAGCACGAGAGTTTCATTCAACAATTGGAAACAAAAGGTTACTTCGATATGCCAAAGGATAGTGCTTATAAATTTATACAATATTTAAATAAAGAAATTAAGGGGGCAAAACTTCCAGTTCTATCTTCGGTTCCGGAAATATCTGTTGAAACTGTTCGATTAAAGCCACAAACTGAGCAAAAAGATATAATAATAAATGCAATTAAAAGTTTTGCATCCCGTTCTCCGTCCGAGCCTAAACCTGCAAATCCTTTACAAGAAGAAAGTTTAGTTGATAATGCTGATGAAAATCCTGAAACTGATACGCCTGCTCCTTCTCAGATTGAATTTGAAAATCTACTTAATGGAAAAACAGAAAGTTCCCCTAGATCTGATAGTTCTATAACTAATGATCCTCCTATCCCAAAGTCTCCAGTAACATTTGTATCAGATGCCCATACTGAAGCTCCAGTAGCTTCTGAAGAAAAATCGGATGATACACAACAAGACACTGAAAAGCAAAAGGACAAAACTCCTTTAGACGGAAAGATAACACCTCTTTCTGATACTTCGCCAACCATAACAGATGAACAAAAAACTTTAATAGATATGGCTGTGCGTGCAGCTACAAGGTCATTGACTAATAGCGTAGAATTAGCAAAGCAACAATCTCAACTAAATAAAGAACTTAATCAGAAATATTGGGAAGATGCTCGTTATAAGTATGCACTAATAGATGAAGAGGTAACATTAAATGAGACGGATGGAGTAATAGCTAAGAGAAAAATACCTGCAACTATTATAAAATGGGTTATAACACAATTAAAATTATTGGTTGGTCGAAGAAATGAAATAGATACATGGATACAAGAATGTTTGGAGGCAAAAGATAGGGTTTTAGAAGCACAAATAGAAACTATAGAGGCAGAATCACGAAGCGATGTTGCTGAGGCACGAAAAGCTGCAGATCGTGCTAAGGCCGCAGAACAAAAGGTTAAAGAACTAGCCAATCAAGTTGATGAAGCTGTTGCAGGTCAGAAACTTTTTTCGGAAGAAATTATAAGCAAAGTTGAAGCTGAACTTTCTAAACAAGACGATGAAACTTCATCATCAAAAATAACAACTCCTGATGATGAAGAGACTTCGACACATGAAGAGGAAAATAATGAAAATCGAGTCGAACATGAAGAGCCTAAAGAATCTTCTGAAGATACTCAAGAAAATGCTAAAGAGCCTTCTACACACGAAGAGGAAAATATAGAGGACGAAGCTGAGTCAATAGATGAAGTCGCTGAAGAAACTTCTGAAGATACGCAAGAAAAGGATGAAGAACCTTCAGCGTCTGCAGAAGAGGAAAATGCTGACCAAGAACATGAACAACAAGACGTTGAAGAACCTCAAGGAACATCTGAGGA